CAAGCTGTGCCAGGACGTGCTGCCCGAGGCCTACATTCAGCTGTGCTGACTTTGCGAGCCTCCCTGGATCCCATGCCATTTGTTTTTTTCTGATGCCTTGAAACCTGCAAGTGAGCAGGCAAAAGACACCGCGAGCTCGTCCGAGCTCGTCCTGTTTGATCCGCCCATCCGGAAGCTCATCCCCAAGTGTCGTTCCGGCCTAGTCACTAGCTGCCATTGAGTTCAGATTGTCTTCCTGAACGAAGCTACGTGGCCAACACCTCAAAACCAAGCAGTGGTGAGCGGAAAGCAGTGACAAGACAAGACCCAACCTTGACTTGCTGGGCAAGTCAAATCGACTTACCACAACAGCCATGCCCCATGACCTGCAGTGCATTTAAGCAAGGAAAGATGGTTGCCAACCTTGTCCATAAAGTGCATGTAGACCGTGTACATACAATCTTTACGTCATTCTTAGGGAAATAAACAAACAGGTCAGACCAAAAAGAAAAGGCAGGAAAAGGACACGCAAGGTACAACAATTCAGTGTCTAAGAGACACGCAGTGGTTGATCCGCTAAGGCAAGTAAGGACCACGTCTCCCAGCATGTGCGACGGTCGTATGGTCATACCGCAAAGCCAAAGCGCCAAGCTCGCCCCGCTCGTCAGGAGCGTTGGCGCCAGCTGGGCGGCGGCTTCCAGGCGGTGCCGGTTGCCTCCAGGGCACAGAAGCAGGCCGAACCAGTCGGAGAGTGAACGAAACAGAAATTGGCCAATAGGTCAATGGGCAATCGCTTGGCAAATCGGAATGGGTGAAACTGGGAGGGGCGAGAGCTCCGCTGGGTCTGGCTGGGGTCCTCCCAGTGACGGGGCTCATGCTCGGCACAAGAATCGAACTCGGGAGATCGTCTTACACAGAATTCATGCGGTATCAACAGGCGAAATTGCATGTGCCGGGTTGTGGCCCCAAGCAGCAGTCAAGGCTTTCTTCATGACGTTGACAAACATGGGCTGGGGAAATGGGGAGGGAACCAAGTACAGGGACGAAGCTTCCTAGGCCGAGCTTCCGGCTGCCAAAGTTCAGCCATTGCCCATGGTGCTACCATGCTGCTACAAGCAACTGCCTCGACCCGTGTGGGAGTGCCAAGGAACTAACTGGAGGCGCATAGAAACGCCGTGTGGGGGCTGCCTCTGCACCCCCAACAAGCTCAAACAGAAGACTGGCAATCTCCAGCCTCTGGATGCATCGATCATCTTTGCAATGCGGCCCAGGCAAATTACGACCTGTGCTTCTGTCAGCCCGACTGCATTCGGCCAAAAGGCCGAGCCAGCAAATGCGTAGCTCAAGCATTCCAAGGGCAGGCAAGAGGCATTCGCAAGGTCCATCTCACCTGCCCGCTGCGCTGCTAGGCCCTGAGGCAGCAAGGGCCAATCCGCGACCAAGCTTAGAGGACGGGAATTCATAGAGGGTGCAAGGAGAAAGGGTCCATCTTTTTTGGGGAATGCAAAAGGTAAAAGCAACCAAACGGCAACCAAAGGGTAACCAAAGGGCAACCAAAGGGCAACCAGAGGGCAACCAAGGGGCAACCAAAGGGCAACCAAGGGCAACCAAGAGAAACGGTCAACCGAACGCAAGCCAAGTATCCTTCCCACTGGGTTTTGAAGACAACCAAAGGCCATCAGAAACCGCGCCCGTTCTTTCCATTTGTGGGCCCCGCCAGGAAGGCGTGGCCCGGCGCGCGGCGCAGCTCCTGGTTCAGAGCCGCCTGGCGGCGCCTCTCCTGGCAATGGAAATCGCCAGTCTTTGGCCAAGCGCTTTGAGTTGTCCCGATGCCTGCGTCTTAGATTCAACACCTTTAGTGTCCGCTTCAGTTAAGGCCTGCCCGCTTCCCAAGCGACGTTGCCGGGGCTCTAAGTGGTTCTTAGTACCGGCTCCTCTTCTTAGAAGGGGTTTCGGTTGTTTCGGCCCCGTAAGCCAGCAAGCAAAATAGTTCACGGCATACTCTTTTCGTGCGGCCCTGCGCGTGCGACGTGAAGAACTCATGCAGATTGTTGGGGGTTGGTCAACGTGAGTGCTCAGACTGGTTGAGGAACACGTTGCAAGTGCTGAACGCTCAGCCGCGAAAGTTGAGAAGGAGCACTGCGCATACTTGTTCAAAACAACAAGTAACTTGTTCGCCCTTCCTTGTCTGAAATAGAGAGCCCAACGCACGCTGCCACGTCATGCGCTGCAACAACTTCTTAGTGCCGAGTGCTCACTGCTCACCAACTACGTGAGCAATTTCCAGATGAAGTGTCAACCAAAGCAAGTTTCGGACACACCAAAGTCCTTGCTATCTTTTTCACTTTAATTGCAGACTCGCAAGCGTGAAGCACATCAGAACCAATCTAGCATAAGGCTCGACGGATTCAAGGTTTGGACTGCTGCAGTTTGATAGGCTGACCGGGTAACACACGGCAATGCTCCTGGATGAATCGGGGAGGTAAGGCTGAAGAAACCGAACATCTGGTGGAAACCCACGCTGGCCAAAACAAGATCCAAAGGAAAGACTTCAGGCACAGGCATATATTCATTTTTTTTTGGAATCATTGGGTCATGGATTTCTTCATGATTCGCCCGCATCCGTTTTTTGTCTCCGCGAAGGAGCACAAAGGCACACAGCGTTTAACAAAAACAAGTGACTCGCTGACTTGTCATTGAGGCTTCCACGGACGTGCTCGCGAAAACGCTATCTGCCACCGCTGGTGCAAGGGCTCACGGTCACAGAGCCTAGATCTGGCCAGAGGCTGTGACTCGAACGCGCCTTGCGCTCACAGACGCGACCTCCACAATTGGCAGCAACTTTCGCGCCCTCGCTTTTCTTGACAAAACAGAGCTGCGGCACGGAGAGCCAGGCCTTTGGCCGACCAATGCATTGGTCGGCGAGCCCAAGCAAAAACAGCACTACATGATTGAGAGACACCCCTCCATTGATTCCACACGTTCGTATTCTTTGCCCCGCTCTGCGACGCTGCAGAAAATGCTACATTGACTTTTCTGCGAGGGATGCCAACGCAGTTCGATCATGAGTGAACAAAACCAAACACAAGCGTTTCTCTACACTGACAACTGGCCGACCTTGAACTTTCGCAAGCCGAACAAACATCCAACAGTTCTTTTGGAGTATCAGGGTCCAGGGCCCAGGGCCTGCTTGCAGGGCCACAGTGTTTCAGTGTTTGAGTGTTTCAGTGTTTAAGTGTTTCACATCTTAGGTTGAGCCCGCTTGGTCTGGTGCACGAGTTGGCTCAGTTGATAACTGAAGTGTTTAGCTACAACAATAACTAAAAAGTTTAGCTAAAACGTGTTATATAGCTGAAAGCTTTTAGCTGAAAACAATAGCAAGAGAGTTCCAGCCAAAACGCTTTAGCCGAAAGCTTTTAGCTAAAGCAATGACAAAAAAAGTTTTAGCGAGCGCGTTATTGCTAAACGCTTTAGCTAGCACAAGGGCCAAAACAAGAGCGACAAAAGTTTAGCTGAAAGCCTTGAGCTAAAAACAATGGCTAGTTTTGGCTAAAACTGCTAAAACAATAACTCAAAAGATTCAGGAATTGGGTTTTATGTGGGTCAAAATATGCTTTGCTGCCATGCTAGTTCACGAGGCTTTGTCTCGAGGAAGTTCATTCAGGAAGCCACACGGGGAGAGGGGTTCTGAAGACCTTCCCGGGCTATGACTTAGATGCTGCGTCAGACGTCAAAGAGGGCACGGGTCTGCCCTAAAGCACAGGGCATTGTGGTCCTGCGTCTTATCCGCTGCGGCGACTTCTGCACCAGCGGGTGTGGCCACATGTCGCGCAAGCCTGCCGCAATTGCACCTGACACCACCAGCTGCGCCCCAAATGTCCGTGCTTCGCACCCCATGAATGACAAAGTAAGTTGGGAAGTGACTCCGTTCCAGAAAGGACCTGCTGGACCAATGGCCTGAGAGGAAGTGCGTCACACCAAATCTAAAATTGCCCCAAACAAACCACATGATAGCTGCTGCCTCATGCCATTCCGACTCGGTGCGAACTGTAAGGGGACGCCCTGCTCTTAAAAAACGTCAAAGAATGCTGCCATGATAGTCTCCCACGAGTACAGCCGCTTCAGACAAACTTAAAGAATTCTGGGCGCCACGCTCAGGCAGAACAGGTTGGCTTGAGCAATGCAGCCCCCTCTGCCCCGTTGGTTCCAAGGGGGCAGCTTGGAATTGTGTCCTTGGTGCAGGAAAAGAGCTATGTCAAGACAACACCCAGCACAAAGCTGACGAGAAAACGCCCTCCCGCCTGGCCGCCAGAAAATGCCAGGCTCGGAGCTTCATACATGTGCCCCCGCTCCGGGCATGGCTCGAGAAGGGCCAGTTGACCTGTGGCCTATGGAACCACCTGGTGTCTGCGTGGCTGCTAAATGTTTCAGTGGGTCCCCGGAAGCCTTTGGTGGACATTCAAAGATTGAGGGGGATCATGTTCCCTTATTCAATCGTGTCCCCTCTTTCCAGTGCTCCCATGGTGAGTGAACTGCACCGCTGCTGTTCGTGGATAGGCAACATCGATATTCAGCTCACAAGCTGGCATCTGACTGACCATACCACCTAGCATTGCAACCAAAGTCATGACTTCATTTGTTAGCAGCACAAAACACAACAACAGCAGTGAACAAAACAACAAAGAAAGCAACTAAACTGAGCAACCAAGCAATGCTTTTACCTCAGCTCAGTTGTTTCTACTCGTCCGCTATGCTGAACTGGCATTTCCTCTGCCGACCTGGCTGCCCTGAAGCCTTCTTTCTGAGCCTGGGTTGTCAATTGCTGCGGGAGGCAACTTCAGGGCTCGGAGGCAAGAGATGCAAGCCTAGAGAAATGACGTGCAAAAAAGAACTGATTCGGATTGGAACAGCTTCAGACAATAATGTAACAGCAAAAGTCCGGGCATAACAAAGCTTGCGGCCGGCCACTTATCCCAACCAATCCAAGCCCACAACAATGACCCGTGCACAGGTGGGCGCACCACTACTCCACTGCAGCCTTGTCCAAGCCTGGGTGCAAGCAATCCGCGCAACGACGATTAGAATTAGCCTCCCATGAGTTCTCCTTTGTGCCTGCTGGGGCCACATCTAGAGGATGTAACCACCGTGATAGCCTCAAACCATATTCCAATCACGTTAAAATGATCCTGCACAAGCCGTGTGAACAGGCCAATAACTTGTCAACGTATGGGCTGTGCTGAGTGTGCTTCTGCAACGTAAGAACCCTGCTTTCCGACTCGTCTTGTAAGAAGGCAAGCAACGCAAACGGTGGCGGCAAAACCTACCCCGAGCCTGGGCATTTCTCATCAAAAGGGCCCATCGCCGCAGCTCAAGGGCATGGAGGGTGCTGCCCACTGAGACCAGCACTTGCCCAAGCGTTCCAGCTCCTCAAGTCCGGACACCTGGCAGGGACACCCAGCGCCAAGTCCACCCCCCTTCAGTCGCTCAAGGCAGCCACCGGCCTCCAGCATGTCGCCAACGCTGGACGATGTAAAGGCCTAGGAGTAGAGTCTGCAATTCTTTGGGAGGGGTCAAGGGAGGAACTCGACAATTCCCAACAGTTAGATAGGTTAGATAAGCCAGCAGGCCGAATGATAGTTTTAGCGCCCTTTCATGCCTGCCCAAGGTCGCACAAGCCCTTCACCTGCCGAGTCGGCACATGTGATGCCAGCCCCATGTGCAACCACTCACCAAAAAATCAACCTCTCCAGGTACGACTAAAAGTGCTCTGAACTCAAACCCTTGTACTGCAGTATGGCTTGGCCTTTCACGGGCAGAACATGCGGATCCTCTTTTGCAAGCTCTAGTGCCACAAGAGGCTGGAAGCACAAGGGAATGGAGCTCACCTCCTTTGGGAACCACTTAAAGCGCCAAGCCAAGCATCACCAATGTTCAAAACCACTCTCGCAGTAGCGGCAAGCGCAAGCAAAGTAGGCAGAAAAGAAACGGCAAGGCAACCGCATGATGGCATTTCCTGTGGCACAAAGCCAACCCAACCTAACTCGCCAGAGGCTCAGTTGCCTACGTGGCCTACGACCCCATTCTGCGGGATACCCGTTCTGGCCGAGGCACGCCGCTAGAGCCAGGCACCGACGTGGGCAAGGGAAGGTGGTGAGACCTGAAGCAACCCAGACCCAGACCCGTGCTTGGTAGGCAGCTTGGATAAAGGGCTCTGCGTTTGCTAAGGAAGTCAGCCAGAACTCGCACGTTGCCCCAACTGAGAGGGGTCCCTTCCCTCTTATAATCAACACTGTTTTACGAAACCCCTGGAAGTCCCCAATAGTGAACTTAGTCAGAATAGGCCAATCCTAAACCTCAACTAGCGATTTTCCTCGCCGACTCCAACTCGTAGTAGGGGTTCCTGAGATCTCTCCTTTTGGAAGCCCGAGAAAACAGAAGTCCACCAAGTATCTGTTTGTTTGAGTATATCTGCTTGGATTTGCATTTCTGCTTACTTGTCTGGTCCGAGACGAGGGAGAACACTGCAATGAGACACCCATACCCAATTCTGCAGAACCCCTAAACTTGTTTACCGGAGGGAGCACCATTTTTCGCGTGCTCAAGTAATACAAACCGCAGGCCAAGTGGGCTAGCAACAAAAGAACATGTACAACAAAGCAAACTGACAAACTGGCAACCAAGCAAGAAAGCGAGCTGCCCTCGTCTTGCATGAGCTCATCAAGACAGGCTCCAACACTCGCTGACGACCGCGGCAGCTTGCCCACACGCTCCTCCCAACTGCCTTTCACAACAACACACCCCAGCCTAAGCCCATGCGAGGGCGTGCCGTTCGAATGGAGGGAGCCTGAAGCGGCAGTGAACACGTGCAATGCATTCCGTCTGAACCGTGTCTGGCCCATGATGGCCCGCCTGGCAGCTCTGCGCGTGGGGTCAGGCGCCCGCTATGGGCACTTCCTGCGAAAAGTCGCGGTTGGTTTCAACTGCCCCAGGGTGACTTAAATCCAGGAACGGATGTGCGCAGAGACGCAAGCCCATCATAAGCGCAAATCTTGTGTGCAAGATTGATCCCGACCCTGACAATTATAGCGGGTTGCGGAGGGTGCGAAGAGTACAATGGAAAAAACTAAGCCCAGTCCAAGTGCAATGCCCAAGCTGTGGACCCATGCCAAAAGAGTGATTTCATCATCGCATTTGGAGACGGGCGCCTCGAGTCACAGCACTGCCGAGGTCAAAGGCGCGCCGGCCCTGGCAGGCAGCTGGCAAGTGATGTGCTGGGAAGCATGCGAATCTCTGAAGGCAGTCCGAAATCCCTTGCTGAAATTTCACAAACAGGGGCAGTCCAGGCTGTATAGTTTTGTCTCGGTGCAAACCACACACCGGGGACAGACAGGAACTGGGCAGCTGCAGGAACACGCGCAACATAGCATTTTGTGTCAAACAACTCGTGCCCACTCGTTGAAGCAGGAGACCTCGTACAAAGACGGTGCCAAACTCACGGTGCCAAATGGCTACATGGAAAGGGGGTCTTGCGAGCCATCACTGCTCAATGCAACCGCGCGCGCCTCCTCAGCATCCTTGCTGGAGGCGCGCTGACCTGCAGAATTCGACTCAACCGCAGCTGTGCCAAGATGTGCCAAATCAGTTGGATCCCTTGGTGGCTTTTTGCAGCCAGGGGTAGGTGCCACGCCAACTGAAGCTAAGGTGGCCCATCCACATCTATCCAGACCGAGCATTCAAGAGCCCCGTGCAGAAGGAATGCAAAAAGTGTGCGCCCCCTCAGTCAAGACAGTGAAGACGGCGAAGACGAAAAAGAAGCACTTCTTCTCGGCACCACATCATCCCCGTTGAATCTTGAGCCCGCGGCTACAGCCAGGCAGCCCCGTCAGCGGCGCCGGCCGCGTCTTTTTCTCCTTGGGCGTCTTCACCGGCCTCAACATTTTTCCGCACGGCTCTTCAGGCAAGAAGAAGGACTTAAGCCAAGAAGCTTCTTTTCGACCAAAGGCATCCTCCCCATAGATGTTCCTCTTGTGGGAGCCAAAAGTAACTGGATCCGAAATGCACTCCCTTTATGGCAGCTCCCTCAAGCCCAGGGCGGAAGCTGCGAGGGTGAAGCCTGGCATCGCGGCGTGGCCTGCGGGCTGAGCTCAGGCGGGCCCTTTGGCTCAGAGCTCCGTGGGTCGGTCACGCGTCCCAAAAATTTATCTGAGGACGGAGGCCTTGTTGTCTTGTGTTTTGTTGTTGCTTTTTTTTTGTACTATTTTTTTTTGGGGGGGCGTGGTACCTAGATGTGCGTGCACTGGGCAATGGGCAATGGGCAGCGCACCGCTGAGAAATAACGATATATAACGATCTTTTTGGGGCTTCTAGGTAGCAAACGGGTTTAAGCATGGAGAAAGATCAGCCAACACATTGGTGACACCGCAAGGGTATACTGCACCTGCCAACATTCAAATTGAGCAACGTGGCTGGCAAAAACAACTGCTCGATAAACCTTGCTGCCTGTGATCTGGGTGATCAACAAGAGCGCGAATGCACGTTGCGTGTGAGCCATCTTCATGTAAAAAAACATCTGCACATCACACATGCCACGAATTGCTGATTAGTGCGCAAACTTGACGAGCCTGGGTATCGGTAAACTTTGCCGGCGCCAAGTGCTGGGCATGAACTGCCACTTGCGAGCTGACTGAGATGCAACACAAACATTGCGGAACTGACTAGAAACTGGGCTAGCTCTTGAAACCATCCGCATACCTCGGTTGCTCGCTGCATTGGTTTGCAGTGGCCATCCTCGTTTGCCCGTTGAATGCGAGCCACAAAAGAGGCCGCATTCCTGTTCTGCCCCGCTCGTCCCTCTCAAGCCGGGGGCGCACCATCCGGCCCTCCCGCACGGAGCTAGTGGAGGTGGAGGGTGAGGAGGCGACAATGCCTGGCAAAGGACATTTACCACAGGGCGAAAACCGGGAGCCCGCCTTAGTTCTGAGAGTTCTTGCAAGGCTTTTGAGAACCAGGTAGGACCGTGGGGCTATCAGCTGTACCAAGCGGAGGTGGCCAATGCCATGGCTGGTTGCCCTGACCGACTGCGCGCATAATCAGGACGCAAACATCTTGGGCACCAAGTAGGGCAACGGAAGCTATAGATTATAGGGCCTTGACAACTCCAATGTAAGGGGAGAGTCCCAGAATTTGCTCCCTGAAATTCGTGTTTCAAGCATGCATGGCAGCCCCAATCCCAGCTTTCAATACAAGTTTAGCGCGCAAAGTGCACTTCGGCTGCTGCGAAAAAGGGCATCTCGCTTTGAGTACAAGCGTGGTACGCAGAGTCATTTGAGCGAATCGGTAGGATCGCGCCAATTCCTGCAATATTTTCTAGCAAGGTATTGGATGCATCGATGAATTGAAAGAAGGGACCGGAGATCTGCAAATCAATCAAATTGCATAAAGTGCATTTGATGATGCACATGCTCTGTTTTACTAATGCTTAAAACTATAGCAGTGCGAATGGCAAGCAACAAGGAGAAAAGATACAAATGCTAGTGCCAAGTACACCTTGGCAACTGGCGCTAGCCGCTTATATCGCGGGAAATGTGCCTTACAGGCCTGGATGTCGTGACTCCAACACATCAAACTAAGCCAAACACCTAGCGGGTTCCTTGACCAAATCTGCGCTTGCATAGCCCTCTCTGCAAGAAGTATTGCTAGCGAGGTCCATGTCGGAGCTTTTGAGCAGGCGAAGACAGAAGGCCAAATGTCATTCCCTTTATATCTCAAGACAAGAACCTTTTGGATGACTCCCATATGAAAAAACAACTATCAGTGAGCCCTCAGTTTGTTGCAGGAGATTTACCGTGAATGTCCTTCCCCTGAGCGGCTGGCAAACATCCAGCCTGAACCGAGGTTCGGCACTCGGCCCGCGCCTGGCGTCAACGCCTCGCCGGTGCTGACAGTGCTGAACCTCGCACCGTGGCGCTTTGGCAAGGGGCCGCTTGGGTCAGCCTCTCATGGCTTCTCACATTGGCTGCCCGCGCTTTGGAAGCTGACAAAAAAGGGGGGGGCAAGTCGCCACGTTCAGCCTTTTCCTGTCGGATTATTCCCCCCTTTCAGAAAGTGAAAGTATGCGCGCTCCCAAGGCAGCCAGCCCATTGGCTTTTGGAGCATACTTGCTGAGCGGACTTTTCGGAGCCCAAGCTCAAGCTAAGTATGACCTCAAGCGTAAGCCTGAACAAGAATGATATAGCACGTCTTTGCACCGGCTTGACGGGGTGATCCTTCCTGTGTCCCACTCTCAGGAACCATGCCTGAGGTATGCTCTGCTCACTACAAGCCAAGGCCTAGCACCGACCTTTGGTCATGAGATTCATGAGGAAACGCCTCAACCCCATCACACAAAATTCGGCCCCCGTTCTGGATTCATTCCCACAGTGTCCTTTCCAAATTTCCAAACTCGAAGCCCCGACTGCCCCCCCCCACAAGATGTCCAACGCAAAGCCCCAGCCCAGCCAAGGTCTCTCCACCCCCCCCCCAGATCTCCCGGCTTGGTGCGCTCCATCTTGGGGAGCAGCGGCGCCAGAGGCGCCAGCGGTGCCTTGAATCCAACTTTGGGACACTCAGACCATGGCTTTGTCTCAACATTCGGGACCCACCCGCCCCAAAACGGAAAACCTGGTCGGTTTCCTGTTGGTGTCCACTTGAATCCCACCCAAATACTTGTCGACGGAGAAAAGAACAAAAAGGGACACACCTCGACGGAGAAAAGAACAAAAGGGACACACCCGCGTGCCCCTTGCCCACAGCACGATTGTTGATACATTCAAATGACCAGTGACTGAATTTGGCTTTGGTGGTGAACCCTGGTAAGGTCCCACCAACTCAACATTTCAAGCCATCCTGCCCCTTCAATCAAGCCCAAGAGGTTAAGGGTTGGCCCGGTACAAGGCGATGCTGCATGCTGGTGGCATGGCATAGTGGCACAGTCCCCAGCGTCGCATGCGACGAGTGCACAGGATGCATTCAACAAGTTGGCTGGTCTGGGCTGGGGTTGGGCTTCAGCTGAACAATTCAGGCCCCATGCCTCGAATAGCAACATCCTCGTAGAGAGATCATGAACCTTCTGCTCACGTGTGTTCTGCGCTGGAATTGCATCCGGTTCCGGCACCACCGAACAAAATACAGCGCTCGTGGCACGTGGAGCCAACTGAACGCACAGCAGTGACTTCTGGGTCGCCAAAGGGACAGATCTTCACTGCTGGCCTCGACCCAAGTGGGGTGGTATGAGTCTGAGTATCAGCAGCGATCGAAGGGATTCAAGCAGCCAGGTCAAACAGTCAAATGGAAGGACTGGACACTGAGCGGTCTTGTCTTCTGAGGCCAGGAGGCAAACATGCTGCGGTTGAGGTTGGGAAATCACATGTCAGTGCCAGCGCAGCCAAGAATTCAAGTCGCAAACATGATGAGGTGGGCAAACCCAGGCTGGTACCGCGCGAGACAAGGCAGGTTCACAAAGCAGGCACGCAATCTCAAATGCAGGTGGGCTGAAATACAAAAGTCGGTAAGACCGATCGGCTGGCAAAGGGCCGCAAAACGCCATGATATGGCGTCAAGCCAACGCACTAGCCAATGACAAAAATGATATCTTACTCCCCGTGCTCGCGCCTGGTGCGCCACATAGGGACCTGAGACGGCCTGGCACGACGTCAATCGAAATGCTCAGTGGACAGCTGCAGACAAGAAATGAGCTTTCGCATCACCTACCCCAAACTGTAGACCCGGCTTGATTGGAGCTTCAGCGACCAACAGTAGCTGCCTGTTGCCTGCCATTGTCTTTTGATTCCTACATCTCTGCTGGCACTAGTTGACTTGCACGCTCCAGTCAAAAGCGCCAACAGGGCAACAATGTCAGTTGCGTGACAGCCCGACTTTGATTTGGCGAGAAGCAGTCCTGCTCACAAACGTCCCCCTTCTCAGTTGCTCCCCGTGCACATCATCTAGCCACTGTTGCACCACGGTGCGCGCATGGGCCTCCTGGGTCATGGCAACAGACACCTGCAATGCGTCACACATGGACATGGGGCTTGGAAGCCAACGGCAAAATGATGATTCCACAAATTCCAGAGCATGCTTCCGTTGGCAAGAAGGCTGAGGTTCGTTTCCCGTGGTACAACGGCAAACATTTGCTGCCAACGAGAGAGACCCCAACAAACAGTCTGTGTCCACACATATCCCATCCCTCAAAACTCCCAGCTCTCGCGCCCCAACCTGCAAGCTAGGCCAACTTCCAATGCGCCGCTTTTTTTTCTACCCAATAGGCCCACCGCGTGAAAGCGCGCGCGAGAACGATTGAGCTGTGCACCAAGCTGCGCTCATGGTCATGCCTTTACCTTGTTTGGCCTGTGCATGGGGCCCAGCTAACCGTCTAGGGATTGCACCTGCTTCATGACCTGCTAACCTGTATGCCACAACTTCGCAACCCGGCCAGCAGCTGTCAACAAACAGGCCATGTGCTTGGGAAGCCCTTGGTGCTTGCTGATCCCTTGGTGCTTGCTGATCCGTGCGCGCGCCCGGAGGTCTCACAGCAGCTTCTCCTCCTTGATTTCCTCCTGAGGGGGGGCACAGTGGCTAGCTATTCAACTCACCTTGGCTTTTTGATTAGTGAAGCACGTGAAAGAGTCAGCAAGTGGGAAGTGGGGCAGCTGGGTTCCAAATCGCACAGCTTGCTGCATCTGACCACTCGCTAGCTTGACAGCGGTGTCTCCCCAATCAATTGGGTCTGTCAAAACTAGCCATTCCTGCCTAGCCCTGTTACAACACAGCAAGTCAACATCAATCATTTGGTGGTTTGCGACTGATGACGTGTCCCACCAATCCAATGCCCCGAGCCAGAGCATGCGGTTCCCACAATGGACATGGGAAAATGGGAGTCCCCTAGGTTTCTGACAAACCCCTGCCCCTCCCCTCCCCCCCCCCCAAGTCACCCACATCCGGAACAACTGGGAAAACTTCGAGCCAGTCCCCGTGTCCTTCTTCTGACGCTTCACCACGCTGGGCAGCATCATGCCGCTCTGCATCAGCTCCAAGGCCAACATGCGCCAAAGCCGCTCCACCAGCGGCTCCGCATACTCATCCAAAAACCTGCCACTCTGCTCACAGAAAGGATGGGCCTGCGGTTGGAAGTCCCAAGAACTGAAATTGAAGACAAGGGACAAGCTCCATGGTTCAAAGCTTCCTGATTAAAGGAACATGGGATCAAAACACCGCTCCTCCAGACAATCATTTCTTGGTTGGCTCACATTTTTAGTGGGATCCCACCCAAAGAAAAAAATGGATTTGCTGGGTGCCACTATACAAATGGATTCAGACTGGGCGCGTCCGGAATGCTGAACCCCAAGAAATAGAGGGGCCTTGTTACAAGGCAAAATATGGTGGATGCCCATTTTGAACTCCGCCCCATTGAGGGCGCCAAGTGTGTGCATGCGATGCTTGCACACCGAAATGTCTGCTCAAAAGTGCCTGATCAAACACGGGGAAAAGAGTTTGCTTGACACTTACATCCCGTGTCCCTGTAAAGTGTTGCGGCTCTGAGTCCAAAGGCGACGGGGTGCTTTGCCCCAATGCCACACAGCTGTTGCGCTTGAGGGACTTGATGGATGCTTGTCACTCGGCCAGACGGCGGCAAAACAGGCCAAGGGCGTTGCAAGAAGATGGGAAAGCGAAACCGAAAGACGTGGACATGCCCTTGAAAGACAATTTTGCCGTCAGGATGCAGAACGCCACGAAATCTGCTGAAAGTGCGCCATCGCATGCCTAAGCCATGCTGTCTCCGCCCCCACCTCTCTAGCTCTGCGATGAGGGGATCTGGCTGCACCGCGCCGTTTACGCGGCGGATGATGAGCTCTACAAGGTCGGAAGTCTGGCCGCCCATGTAGAGGTCCTTGCTGCAATGGCAATCGGGCTTTTCCTGAAGGCCTGAAGGTTGGGGGGCCAGGCAGCAGGTTGGGGAACGGTTCCCCTTCACCTGCTATGAATCATCAGTCCACATTGAGCCGTCTGTCTCTCTCTCTCTCTCACATATCTTGATACACCTGTTGCCATTCCCCCACGTTTCCATTCCGGCCAGGCACTGTCTTCCGCTCCAGCCAAGGCCTAAGCTTCCTCTCCATGATGCGCTCGTTGCGCAGATATGCGGTATCTATCTTCATGGTGAAGAGCTCTTCTCTGGGCTCCTCCTGCACCTGGCAAGTTTCGAGCGGAAGCCGTCAGCTTCCATCGCAAGAGCCTCGCATTCGAAGTGGCAGCTCCCGGCCCCGAACCTTGTGCACCATCTCCATGAGCGCCCGGTTGTCTACCAGCTGGGTCACGTTGAGCGTGCGCACACCGTGCTCGCCCTGTGCTGCTGGCATGGTTCAGCATCACAGGGCGGTAACTCGCTCATCGTTACTTGTTCCTTCCTGGATGAACAACTCCAATTGGGCCAAGAGATGTCATCGTAGCAGGGACAAATTCCCCCCCCCCCGCCCCCCGAGTTGCATAAAGGGCAACAATTCCAACAGCGCTTGCTTCATTTGGGTTCTGCGCCAAAAAAGCTTGCACACGAGCGCACGAAGATCACGAGAACAGTGTCAAACAGAGTTTGCACCTTGCCGGCGAGCACTCGTTTCTTCGAGGCAAACTGACAAAGGGAACCAGCACAACTCGAGCAGAAACACAACATGGCAAGTTCCAAGAGAAATGTCCACCCCGGGCTGCGCCAGATTTAATGCTCAGAAGGGGCGCACTGCCAAGAATCATGCCACGTCCGATCATACGTCATGTGCGTGCGCGTGTGGCTGTGTGCCATGGTTCTTTGCCATGCAGGACATCTCACAGTTTGCCTGCTTGTGAAAAAGAATGCTTGTACATAGGATGTATTGACGGGCGAACTGGGGGCTTCCAACTATTTGTCGCCCCTTTGTGTCTCTGCGCTGCCAAACCAGCGGGAGCCCTGCACACAGGACCCACAGCCCCTTCAACGCCTCCACCTTCCCCAGCTTCATCTCCTTCCGCTGCTTCTCTTGCCTGGGCCGAACTTTGTGCGGTTTTGTAGCAGGGCTTAATCAAATTTGCAAGGCTGCCCAGTGCGAGAAAACAGACTTTGGCTAGCTTAGCATGTTGGAAACAGCACCCAGGATTTGTTGATAAAGAGGTGGGCGGGCAGGCCAACATCAACAACATGGTCAGGATGATAGAACCGTGCATAAAATGGTAAATCAAACTGCCGGGATCCAAAGCCGCTGCATCAAGTCAGGTGGCAAGTGGCCGACATCCAAGAAGAGTTGTGCCACCCAGTTGCAAAACTATAGGCCACACACACACACACCCCTCCGTGTCCGCGACATACCCAACCACCCCACAACATCACAGAAACTAGATGACTGGTATTAAAACAAGAGTATGCGGAGGCCGCGCGTGACACTCTCTGCGCCGACTGCTCTGTGCAAGCTTCTCAGAACAAGTTTCTCTGCCGAAGTTCGCAGCGCGAAATTCCCGGCGCAAACCTCCACAAATTATCCACGCTAGTTTCCTCTCGCAAGATCTCAGCACAAGTTTCTTTGCCAATTTAAGTTGTCCATACATGTTTTTGTTCGAAACGTCTGCGCCAAGTTTTCTGTGCAAGTTCTCTGCGCAGGTTCATCTGCTCAGGTTTGTCTGTGCAAGTGCCCGACGCGCGTTTCTCTGCACAAGGTCTCGGTGCAAATTCCTCTGCACAAGCTCTTTGGTGCGGTATCTCCGTACAAGATCTGTCTGCAAGTTTCTGCGCGGGTGTTTTCTTCAACACATGCAACTCGGCACAAGCATCTTGGCGCAAGCCTCTCTGCTCGCGTTTCTGTGTACTGAACAATGCAATTTTTGAGCTAGGCTGCGGGACTTTGCATAAAGACCCTGGGTACTGAAAAGTTGCAATTTGAGGGCTGGAGCTGCGAGGTTTGAGCTGAAGCAGCGGGAGTGCAGTTTGCGTGCTACTCTTGTGCTTGGCTTGGAAAGCCCTGTGCTGACTAGAAACGCGGGGGTCGAATCCTGGCGCCGCCGATCCCGAAAGCAGGCACGCAAAAGAGACAACTTCCAAACACCCAAAAGAGCCCGAGTCTTCTGTGCTATCTATTTGTGTCGCTCTGTGCTATCTGTCTTTCCTTCCAAAGGCCATCCGCTCGTTGAGCCTCCGTTTGCAGCCGCGCCACAGCTCCTGGTCCTCCTTCTCCCGGTCTGCGTCGTCCCGCTTCCGCTCCGCCTCCCGCAGCAGCCGCTCTGAGGCCTCCACTCCTGGGTGCTGAGCTGGCGCCGTCTCCGGCCCCGAATTTCAACCGGAAATTTCGGGAGGCATAAATCAAACCTTGGAAAAACAAAATAGAAAAAAAAGAGCACTCCTGGAAAGAAGCTGGAGGGCGGAAAGCTGCCGCCTATGGCAAAACTGTACCGTACTAATCTTCATCTACCCAGGTTTTGGATTGTGGCTCAACAGAAAACCTTCCCCTCCGAGCAAGACCCAAGCAAGAGTCAAATCACACGCGGAGCACGGCTTGAAACTGCCGGATGGCTAGGCCCCAAAGGAATTGCGCTGGGGCTAACATTCTGCACCCATGGCCCATGACGCACGCTACGGTTCCTGGCACGCCAACCCGCTGAGTCCGAAATGAAAGCCATTGCGAGGCCAAGATTCTCTCCAGCTCCTGTAAGAACTCTGCCTCTCTCCAGGCTTTTCGCTTCTTGGAGCGCTCCACTCCTTGACATTGTCCAATGTGTGTGTGTGTGTGTGGAAAAGTGCTCGCTGAATTGGGGATTCTGTGGGAGCAACTTGCTCCAATGATCCTCAATTGTCGCCTGCTATGCCGCAACACCTTTTCTGCTGAGTGAATTGAGTGTCTTTGACGCATGGCACCCTAATTCTTCGCGTTTCCCCAGCGCGAGCCTAACACGGATCCCGCATCCGCTTCTTGAGCACTACGCCCAGAAGACCAGCGACCATACCCAATGTCACCTTCCAAGGCACGCTTTTCTTCCCTCTCCCGCAGCTCCCTTCTCCGCTGCTTCGCTGAGGAAGTGTCGGCGGAGCCAAACCTGTACGGCAAGTTGTGCCAGGCAGACAGGCTCACAAACAAACAGACAAACAGCCAAGCAGGCAGGCAGGCAGGCAGGCAGGCAGGCAGGCAGGCAGGCAGGCAGGCAGGCAGGCAGGCAGGCAGGCAGGCAGGCAAACAAACAAACAAACAAACAAACAAACAAACAAACAAACAAACAAACAAACAAACAAACACACAACATGAGTGCCAGGGGCTAAAAACAATCCTACACATGCTGTCACTACCTCATTTGGGTCACAAAAGCGCTCTTTCTCGCTTTTGCATGGCCAAAGGTGTCAAAAAGACCCTCGGTTTCATGAAATCATGCCCTGCACAGTCCATGCAATCTGTGCTTCGCGTGTCACAAAAAAAAAAAAAAAAAAAAACTCTAGTTCACCGCTGCGCAAAAACCGGGGGGGGGGGGGGCAGTCGACCTTCGGCCGGCAGCCGAAGATCCTTCGGCCAAAGGAAAGCTTTCCGGCGGCCAAGGCGCAGCTCCTCCAGCTTGGCGTCCAGCATGGCCTTGCAGCTCACCGCCTTGCGCTCCAGCTCCCACTCCAACTCGTCGTCCTCGAAATGGCTGTGGGTCAAAAATAGGGTAACCCCAAAATGGAGCACTGGTGAACGGAAACAAAGACCAAAACCTGCGGACAAATTCCTGGTGGCTTAATTTTGACCCATACCCAAAAAGACCCCCCCCCCCGGTTAAAAAAACTTGGGGCTTTGGGGCGTTCTCAGCTTGGGGGTTAAGCTCTTTTTGGACCAATGGGAAAAAGCCGCTCATGCTCTCACATTGGACATCCAAGCGACCGGTGTCTGCTTTTGAGTGGTGCTACTGAATACCTGCTCTGCTCACCAGTAGTCATCCTCCACTGAAACAAGTCGATGTCAACCAATGGGTGGGCGTGCATCTTCAAAAGCTGCGCTCGCTCTGTGCAACCGATTCAGAGAAAGGCATCAAATGGCCGCGGTATGTTTGCATCATTGACTGCCTACAGCTTGACACAAAGAAACAGATACCCGACACTGCCTCAAAAAAAAGGCGATGCGGGCGCTCAAAAGCAATACGGACCAAAAAGAAAAGAAAAAAGAAGAGCGGAACAAACATGGCAGGAAATGACTGACACCTTCGGAGATGAGCAACGGCCTATGAGCACCCAGCGAGCACCGAGCGGCGAAAATCAAAATCGCCGACCGAGGGGCCGTGCTGACTCTGAACACGGCCTTCTGCGACGCCTTCCACTTCAGGATGAAAGCTTCGGTGTTCTCTTCCATGAGAACCTGCATGGCAAAACGGCTGGGGACTAGTTACCCTCGTGCTGGCTATATATGTGTGCCATATACATATATATATATATATATATACAAACTTATTTATATATATATATACGTATGTTCTATGTACATACATATGCAAATAAAATATAGATATGCACGCCGCCTGCCTTGAAATAGGCGAGGCTGACAAAGATTTGAATTGGCATTGCTCAAATGCAGAAATCGGAAGCAAGAGGGATTCTTTCGAATGAGAAACGTCCATTTCTAAAACGACGGCCCATGAAGGGGGATTTGGACAAATCACATGGAGGTAGAGCAGGCCGGAACGGCTTAAAGCAAATATTTTAGCAACGCTTCCACTTGCAAGGGGGGCTTCTAGAAAACCACTGGGACATGGCGCGGACTTGCCCACTTCGCGCGTCCCAGGCCTTGATGTCCTGCCCACCGACCCTTCTCTTTGAGAGACCTCGGAATCAAAAGGTTGGCCTTGCCACACCGAGCAGCCGCATGCGAGGAAGTTGCCAGCATCCACCAGTCGACCATAGTCGACCCACCAAGCAACCAGTCTGGAAACCGACAGAAGCCTCCTTCAGGAGCAAGGGGTCTTTTTTCCCAGGGACGCCCCTGACTCATTGGGCAGGGGTCGCCTGCGAAAGGGTCAGGATTTGGTTCATGGTTGGGAAGCGAGCCTTTGGCAGTCCTGGCGCCTTCAGTTGGCAAACTCAAGCTGGCAAATCAACTTCAACCAGACAGCATAAGATTTGGACTATCATTGCATGCTCCTTGGCCCGACTCAGCAGATGACACGATCTCCCGCACAGGACTCACCCGTCCAAACCACCGCAAACCAACCCATCCTTCCAAACTGGGAACTGAGAGAGCTGTGCAAGCCCCAGATTGCTCAGACCTTCGATTAAAGGCCGCTCCCAGAACACCAGGAAAGCTGACATCCCCAACCACACTGCACCCTCAAGACACTCACAAAAGGGTCCCTTTCAAAGAAGACCAACCTACGGAAATTCCTGAAGTTCCATGGGGCAACATTGAAGGACCACTTTGGGGCCTTGGGCGGGGCGGGGAGCCATTTTCGCGTTCTCCCCGTTGGTTCGCCTGGCTCCCGGACAAAACAGCGTCCCTATCCAAGGCGCAGGTGGCCGCTTTCCACGCAGACTCCGGGTCCGCGAACTGCGCCACGCCGAAGCTCATGGCCTTGCCTCAGAAGAAGTCGGGGATTCTCCGGGCTGCCCGTTTTCACATCCGCTAGAAGTGTCACTTTTAGTGGGTTAAATGGAAGCTGCCACTAAACACTAAAAGGCTACAAAACTAAGGGGATGGCTGGGAGCCACCGAGTATTCTGGTTTAGGGGATGGCAAATCCGTGGCTCGAATCAGACGTCTCAACCACTTTGCTTCAGAGCACCAATGTTAGGCAAACCTAGGCCGACTCTCCGCAGCAAGTCGCGGCTGGTCAATGTGACAGTTTGCCTTTCCAAGCTGTCAGCCAAAGCTGCCTTCTGCATCCGTCGCTCGACGGAAAGCCTAGCAATGGACGAACATGACATCTTGGTTCCCCAAGCTATGCAGGTCCTCGTACTCGGGCATCGGCGGCGGATCATGATTTGATAGGAAAACCAATTGGGCGAGGACAACTGGTGTTTGAAACTGGTGGATTCAGAGGCGGTCTGGCCTAAGCACAAGTTTTATTGGGCTATTGTTGATCCCCGGCTATGTTGAGCCATACCCTGGCTATGTTGAAGCCATAAAGTAGTTCACGTTCTGCTTTCATGGGTCGCTGCAGCACGCGCTTGAGCAATCCTGCAACTGGCATGTTTGCCTGTTTCCTGGGTTTGTTTATTTCACTGCCTCAAAATCGAAGTTGCGCTTCATCCCTGATGTCCGGATGCACCCCTGCCTGGACGTCACCACATTGCTCCAGCAGCTGCTGCATCTGCGACTCCTGCCACGAGCTCTCTTTGGTGCCAAGCCCTCTGAAAACCCCACATGAAAACATGGGTCAAATCTGCACTCCTTCAAGTTGGGCGCCAGGTGCGCAATCAACATGTAGAGCTGCGGCTTCCTCGCAATCACAATTCAAACTCTCCGAATCAGGAAGTCCCTTGCTTCTCCGCAGGCACGAAAACTGGCTGTGGGTCAAAAATTGGTACCCCAAAATGGAACCCTGGCATGGACTAAAACCTCCGGTCCAATTCCTGGTGGTTTCATTTTGACCCATACCCAAATGCAGCTCAAAAGCACCAAGGCGCTTCTCCGGCGCCGGGGGTGGTGGTGGCCCCCCACCACCCCCTGCCGCGTTAAGCTGCGCCAGCTGCTGAGGCAGCGAGGGGCCGCCAGGCGGCCGCGGGGGCAGCTGGGGGTCCCGGAACTGGGGCCTCGGGCGCCGTGTGACAGACGTCCGACAGCACAGGCTCTCTCAGCGAGTTTTGCACGGTGGCCTGGAGCCTCTTTGCAACTGTTCAACCCAAGATTTTTCAGGTTGCAGGCCCAAAGATCGCACCAATCTCAGCGAAGCTGCGGCGCAATCATCTGTGGCCGCATGCCTGGGGGCGGTGGGATGACGGCGCCCATGGGCCTGGGCATGTCCATTGGCGTCAGTGGCGCCAGCATGCGGGGCGGCGGCATGGTCATCCCCATGTTGGCCATGGGTCGCGGCATCGCTGAATTGGGGGCCATCATGGTGCTCGGCGCCATGGTGGGCGGCCCCATGCCAGGAGCACTCATGGAAGGCATGCCCATAGGCATGGACTGCATGCCCAGCGGCATTCCCGGCATCCCTGGCGGCATGCTCGGCATGCCTGGAGGTGGCATGCTCATCTGCCCCATCTGGCCCGGCATCTGTCCGGGCATTCCGGGCATCTGCCCAGGCATCTGCCCAGGCATTTGCCCGGGCATCTGCCCGGGCATGTGCCCCAGGGGCATAAGGGGCCTTTGCCCAGGTGGCAGAATCATCTTCCCTACAGGGCCTGCAGGCCAAAACTGCCTGCCGGGAGCGCAAAGGATTTCCCATTGGCATTGGGAATGCTAAAGGCCGGACAAAAACACAAGTAAACCACCAGATTGATATGAAATACAAATGTAAACCACCAACTAAGCAAGCCGTGCAAAGCTCGCATCAACCAAAGAAGCCACAGAACAACAAAGGCCGACTGCAAGCTCTGCAGAAACACACCGCAAAGTACTGCTGAGACATGCTGAGACAACCGCGTTGAAATGCTTCTTGCATTGTAAAGGCAATGACGAGCAACTAGCAACAAACACATTGCGAGTCACTAGTGACCACTCTAGCGCAGTTGCCCTAGCTTCAACCCCGCCGGACCTTCTGGCACTTTGTTCTGATCCTTGGCACCTTCCAAAGCTTAAGGGCTTGTGCAAGGCCTAGGGTCGAGGGTGCCGGGTTTAGATAGCGAAGGAATCCTTTTTGTAAGTTTTCTGAGCATCAACTGGATTGGTAGAAAAGTTTGTTCAGCATGATGCTTTTCTCAAAGTGTGGAGCCGGCATCTCAACCAATTGAAACTATTGTAAGCGCACAGCTGCTTCTGACACACGCTACCTTACCTTGACCTGATGCTACCATTGCTTCACACTGTCTTGCCTGACAGCACGTTCGCATCTGCGAGCGTCTTGTTTGCGCCCCTGCCCGGGATCGTCTGACCGGCCTCGCGCCGAAAGGCTGCCTGCACGCGCGGGATCTTCAAGGGGGCCGATCTAACGACGGACAGAAGCACGTTACTAAGGTCCGCTTTGCAGGAACACGCAAGCCGGACAAGTCACATCAAACAACACTTGGATTTGCACGTGAGAGCAAAAGTGCACGCTTGCTTGAATGACAGCATGCAGGCATCGACCCTCAGATTGATCAGAATCATAACCAACATTTACAAGACGGCTGAGCTGAATTCATAAACCGTTGCCTCCCTGTCAAGCCAGGCCTACCTAGAAGCCTGTCCATCCTCAGCGCAACTAACCATGGCCTAAGCTCACCTCCCCAGACCTCACCCCCCCCCCTGTGTTGCTTTTGGTTACACACATTGACCTATTCACACACTCCGCTGACATGTTTGCTCAAAAGTCATTTGTACAGTCATTCGACTCCTGGTACAATGATAAAAAGGCTTGCAGACCGCTTCACACGATTCACAGTCAACACAAGAACTCGTGTACGACTTGGTGACAAATCACTACGGTGGAAGCACCCAAGAGAGGACCTCTGCTCAAAAGCAGACTCACAGGAGATGTCTATATGTACAAGGCAGTCCTCCAAAATGACCTTTCGCAAGATCCTGATGAAGGAGTCAACTACTTCAGGCTCCTCAGCTTCTTCAATCATAGAAGGCAGAACCAAGAGTTCCTCATTTTTACCTCAAAATTCAAAATCCTTCTCATGAGATTGAAGGCAGCATGGATGGACTTGATGCCCGTTTTCGCGGCACAGTCCCCATCACTTCGACAGTCCGTACAGGACGCAAATGCAAGAACAATTGCTCGACGTCAGCAAGCAGCTGGTACTCGAGCACCGCCTCCAGTCCTGCTCAATGAGGATGATCCAACAGTCCTCAGACAGTATATCACGGGAATGCAGGACAGACAGCGGGACGCATTTCCCTTCGGGGATAATCTCATTGCGCAGTTTTTCATTATACAAAGTGAATTGTCAGATCAGCAGAGAGAAAGACTGACAAGTGCAATGTCATTGAGAAACATTTCACTAGAGAACTACTCCTATGAGATGAGCAACACATTCTTCATCATCGAACAAGGTGAAGGATGAAGAAGGACTTGAAGGATTCATGTCAAACAACGATGAAGAGACATTCTGGGTCCTCGAGGAGAACGATGCGTTCATAGCAAGAAAAATGTCAGGGCGGAATTTCAGATTCAAGAAGAGAAAAGGAAAAGGAAAATCAGGAAACAAAAAAGGCAGTCACCAACAAGGTGGCTTTAAACCCTTCAGAAAAAGCGGTTCTGGCGGGAAGGCCAATATGGCCAATGAGAACTATGATCCCTACGACCAGGCATATTGGGGAAAAGGCAAGGGAAAGAAGGGAAAGAAAGGAAAAACAAAATTCCAATACCCCTATGATGGAAACAAGGGTTATCCACCCTATGAGAATGGCAAAGGAAAAGGCGGACATGACAAAGGAAAATCCAAGACGTTCGCAGCCATCGCAGAGAAGACGGAGGAGCAGCCCGCCATCCAGCAGACTGCACCATCCACAGAGCCTACCTATGCCGGTTGGACAGACCAAGATTGGGATCAATCATGGACATGGAACGAACAAGGCTGGCACTCATCCCATGAGACATCCAGCACAGGACAAGCGCTAATGGCATTCCATGACGCATATGAGCATCATGAGAAAGAGGCCATCCACGGGAAGCTGATCCAAGCAGATGCAGTTGCAGAACACAATTTGTCCGTCACAACAAATCACAGCCTTTTGGCAACAAAGCTGATGGCGCCTGTCATCAACCCTCAGCACAATCCGACCTATGCGATCCTGGACAACGGATGTACCAGATCCATGGGCAGCTGGCATGCAATCCAGCGTTTTACTCAGGCCATCGAGCCCATGAAGGACATCATCTCCTATCAGTACATCCCGGCCGAGACAAAGTTCACTTCTGCAAACGGAGAGACCGCCAAGGTAAATTGGACCCTGCATCTTCGATATCACACAACTCCTCCATGCAGTACCAACATCGACGTCCTTGAACAAGGAACTGTACCGATCCTCCTCAGCATCAGTCAGATGCGGAACCTCTACATGACCATCGAGCACACCTCAATGTGACAAAATCACATGCAAGGCTTTTGGCATGAACCGTCAAGCAGTTCCGGTATCCGGTACAGGACATGCACTCGTCGATCTCGCTGGAGTTGCAAGAGTGAAGGCACATGGAGAAATTGCTCATATTGCTCATAAGGGCCTCACCAACTACGTCTACAATGATGACAACAGCATCAAGTTTCCCTCCGGGGATATCTCCAAGAGTGAAACTGTTTGCGCAGCAAAATCATCCGAGACGAAGGAGGACCTGGCAACTCCTAAAATCATTGGGCCTCAGAAGCAGGACCATTGGATCCTTGACAAGAAGAACAAGCAGCTCAGCCGTGTGCACATCACGCCTCGAAAGGCACTGTTCACACCAAATGGAGCCAAGGAATGTCCAATCAATCCTGGTAACATTAGCCGAGAGCGTACTACGGAAATCATTGATGCATCCGGAGGTGGAGATCCAGACATCCTAGAAGACAATTGGAGACTCACATCCCAGGCAAACAAACCAATGATTAACCTGTGGATAGGTAAGACCATTTTCACCTTCGCGGACAATTCGCTTAAGGACGAAGAAGCAGGCTCAGAGATAGGATCATCGACAAGAAGGGCCGGTCGACCATTGAGCCAGATCCTTTCGCACCATCCTCAGAAGAACCAACAACGCTTCCGCTTGCACTAGGCAGAATCCACAAGCGATTGTCAAATCCCGAAGAGCTCAAGAAGCTCCACCTCCAGCATCATCACATGACAACAGATCAATTTCGATTTAGAACTCGCTCACTTCATTTGCCGAAATCAACATTAGATCTATTTGACAAAATCAGAAGTGAATTTGAAGTTTGCCAAGCGGCAAAACATGCAGACGAGTGGACTTCGAGCGGACACCTTTGGCGACATGACATTCATTGATCACTGTCAAGTTCCTCTTGGAACAGGAGAACACATCATTGTTTTTGTCATCCTGGATGGAGCAACAACATTGCTCACTGCAGAGGTACGCAAGAAGTCGAGAACACCACTGTCCTCAGGAACAATTTTGACCAGTACCACTTGCAGCCCAAATCAGTTGTCGCAGATCAAGCCTTCATGACGGAGACATGGGAACATTTCTGTCAATCCCTTGACATCACACCGATATCATTGGGACCG